CAATGTGGCGGCTAGTGATATGCCAGTGTTGTGTGATTCCTTATGTTTTTCCTAAAGATATTTGTGACTTGCCTCGAGAGTGTGGATCCGATTTCAGTGATAGTAGAGAATTGGTGTTTGTATCTGCTAAGCAAGTAGGATAACCCTTGGGATATGTGGATTATAGGTTTGCATGTTTATGACAATAATTGAATGAGGCCGTGTGTGGATTACCGACCATTGAGTAAGGTAATGATTGAGATTAAATATCCACCTCAAAAGGATTTACGATTTGATGGAGCAACTGTTAGGCGAGTATGTCTACAGTATAATCGAATTAAGGAGGGTTACCTTCAGATTTGGATGAAGGGTGAGGATAGTTAAGGGACAAATTTTAGAACTTGTGTAAGAATTACAAATATTTGGGTTAGTTTGTTGCGGTGTTTATTGAGGACATTATGAGTTAATCTAAGTAAGAATAAGGGAATGTCGAACGTTGTGATTTGAATTACAATGTTGGAAAGGAAGAGACTTTATGATAAGTTATCAAGGTGTAGATCATGTTTTGAGGAGAGACTAATTGGACCATGGTGCTTTAGGTAACTTTGAGCATAAGTTCTAAAGAAATACTATTTCAGTTTAGTAATAATGGTTTATGCGCCATCATGATTGTCGGCTACCTATTGACTAATTGAGGAAATGATCACCCTTAATCTCTTATTGATAGTAGACGGGATCGTGTTAGATGGGATAGACTTGTATTATTAGCTTGATGGTGTGTAAAGTGATTGATTTTCTATCAAAAGGATAGTCGTTCATCATTTCAAGTATGTGATGTTGCATGTGAAGAAAGTTTTGTAGAACTAAAGAAAATATTGACGAATGCTCCGATATTGGTTTTTCCTAATATGAGTGAGTCATTTGTAGTATATTATGAATGAGTCTAAGATGGGACTTAGTGGTGTGCTAATGTTGAATGTACAAGTTGTTGCTTGTGCTTCTAGACAACTCAAAGTTCATGAGAGGAACTATCCTACGCATGACTTAGAATTGGCGGTTGTGGTGTTCGTGCTAAAAATTTGGAGACATTATCTTTTTAGCCCTAAATTTGAACTGTTCAGTGATCATAAGAGTTTAAAATACTTATTTGATCAGAAGGAGTTAAACATGAGGCAGAGAAGAAGGCTCGAAATTTTGAAGGATTATGATTTTGATTTGAGTTACCATCCTGGTAAAGCAAATGTAGTAGCTGATGCTTTGAGTAGGAAATATTTGCATATGTCAATGCTTATGGTTCGAGAGTTAGAGATGATCGAACAATTTATAGATATGAGCTTGGTATGCGAAGAGACATCCAACAATGTGAATATGGGAATGTTGAAACTGACTAGTGGGATTCTTGAAGAGATCCGAGAAGGTCAGAAGTCTTATTTGAGTTTGGTGGATCGACTAAGGTTGGTTAACCAAGGCAACAGAGGTGAATTCCGAGTGGATGAGAATGGTGTGGTGAGGCTTGATAATGGGGTATGTGTTCCTGATATTCCAGAACTTAAGAAGAGCATTCTTGAGGAAGGGCATCAAAGCGATTTGAGTATTCATCCAGGTGCTACGAAAATGTATCAGGATTTAAAGAAAATTTTTTGGTGGCCAGGTATGAAGAAAGAAATTGCTAAATTTGTGTATGCTTACTTGACTTTTCAGAAGTCGAAGATTGAACATCATAAGCCTACAGGTCTTATGCAACCTTTGAGTATTCTAGAGTGGAAATGGGACAGTGTTTATATGGATTTCATGTTGGGGTTATCGAAGACTGCTAGAGGTGATGATTCAATTTGGGTAATAGTGGATAGGTTGACTAAGTCGGTTCATTTCTTGCTGATGAAGATCAATCATCCTATAGAAAAGATGGCTAAGATGTGTGTTGATGATATTGTAAAGTTGCATGGGATACCTTCGAGTATCGTGTTGGATAGAGACCTGAGGTTTACATCTAAATTCTGGACAGATTTGCAGAATGCTTTCGGTACCAAGTTGAAGTTGAGTTTTATCATCCACAGAGGGACGGTCAAACAGAGTGGACTATCCAGTCTTTGGAGGATTTATTGAGGGCTTGTGTTCTAGAACAAGGAGGATCTTGGGATAGTCACTTGTCGTTGATTGAATTTACATACAATAATAGTTTCCATTCAAGTATTGGAATGGCACTGTACGAAGCATTGTATGGTAGGAGGTGTAGAACTCCATTGTGTTGGTATGAGTCGGGCGAGAGTATTGTACTCGGACCCGAGATTGTGCGAGAAACAACTAAGAAGATTAAGATAATCCAAGAGAGGGTTAAGGCTTCTCAGAGTCGTCATAAAAGCTATCATGATAAGAGAAGGAAGGCCTTGGAATTTCAGAAAGATAATCATGTGTTTTTTAGAGTTACTCCGGTAATAGGTGTTGGTAAGACTCTGAATCAAGGAAGCTTACGCCGTGTTTCGTTGGTGCATATCAAATATCTAAGAAGACAAGTGAGGTAGCCTATCAGATTACTTTACCTCCGCCACTTGCGAATCTTCATGATGTGTTTCATGTATCTCAGTTGAGAAAGTATATTATGGATCCCTCACATGTAATTCATATGGATGATGTACATGTGAGAGATAACCTGACTATTGAAGCATTACCATTGAGAATAGAAGGTCGTGAAGTGAATCAATTGAGAGGTAAGGATATTGCCTTAGTAAAGGTGTATTGGGGTGGATCATCCGGTGAAAGTTGACTTGGGAGCGTGAGAATCAGATGAATGAGTCGTATCCGACTTTGTTTTCCTCAGGTAATTTTCGAGGGCGAAATTTCTTTAAGTGGGGGAGAGTTGTAACACCCCAGTTTTTAGAAGTTATTTATTTAATGAATCATTAGGAGTATTTGTGAATAATTGATGTTTTATATGATTATATGTGTGATGTGCTGGTATGAGGTTGTGCATGATGTGAATTATGATGATTAGAAGTATTAGAATGGTTAAATAATTATTTAATAATTATTTGGATTATTATTGAGAATGTAATAATAGAAATAATTATTTAAAGGGTTATTTTAATTAGAGTGGTGTGTTGGTAATTAGTAGGAAGAGTGAGGACGTGATGGTAAATAGAGGTTGACTAAATGAGGGCAATTGAGGAAGATATTAGGGGTCCTTTGTGATAACAGAGAATAGATAATTGTTATTCTCACAATCAATCGTGAAAGTTGGAGAAGAGAAGCTATGGCACGAAGGCTTTGGAGAGAATCATCGTAAGAGGCATGAAGAACATAATCAATCACTCGAAACAATAAGGTAAGGGGTGTTTATCTGATTATTATATTTGATTTAAGTGGTAGATAGAGGTAGGGTTTTCCTTAGGTTTCATAGATGGTGATTCGATGTTGTTTGATGGAGAATTGATAGATTAGTGATGAATAATGACCCGTAAATATTGTCTAATTGATGTAGTATATTAAGTTGTTGATAGATGATGAATCCCTATGATTAGATGATGTTGTAGGACCTATAAGGTAGTGAAATCCCAAAAACATTCAGCACAAAACAGCATGCGTCGACTCAAAGAGGTCATGCGTCGACTCATGCAGGTTCAAGACTCGGTATGCGTTGACTAATTGGGTCGACCTAAGCACACTCGGGGCAAATAGAATACCTATGCGTCGACTCAAAGGGGGCATGCGTAGACTCAAGCAATCCAATTTTTGACATATTTTTCTAAAGGCCGTAACTTGAGTTTCTAGACTCCGTTTGAGGTGTCGTTTGAAGCGTTGGATAGCTAACGCGGTGAACTATATTTATAAGGAGTAAAATGAAGAATAAGAAGGATAATTCTAGTACCCAAGTTAGGATAGAATTAGTTTCCCCGTGTTGAATCGCTATGATATTTTGTGGTAATGAAGTTTGATGATGATATGTTATTAATATGATTATTATGTTTTATATGATGATGATGTTTTGCTTATATGAGTACATGTGATGAGGTTTATATGATGATGTTGGTGAATACATGAATGATGATGCGTATGACTAATTATGATCGTTTATATTATTTTTGCGTATCATGCATTCATTGGATAACTTTGGTCCGTTTTGATGATTTAGGACGTTGGTCCAGTGATTTGGTCTCAATCCCATTGTGTGGATTTTGGATGTCTATGATTTTCTCCAGTTCCAAGTGGGAATCGATCCTATGATTGGGGTCTTTGGAGGGTGATGGCTCAGTGTCCATCAAATGAATTGGTACCACATGCATGAGTCTATGTCCTTGCACTACATCTTATGTGGCATTGCATGGTTCTTAAATTGGTGATGTTGTATTGTGTTGTTGAATTTGTATGATTGTTGAGATACTTGAAATATAACAATGCCGAGTTTATTTTGTGATACTTTTGGTTTATTCTGCTATGTCTATTACTTATATCTTATATAATGATTGTGATGAACTCACCCATTCTGCTTGAATGTTGCCTCTACGTGGGTAACATGCAGATAATCAGGAGTAGTCCCTAAAGGTTTAGAAGAATAGTTTAGAGTGTGTGTTTTATTTCTGTTTAGTCTAGAAGGTCTTGCTCTGATATGTAACATCGGGACAGGAATGCATTGTTTTGAAAATTATTTTGTTCTTGTTTTGTTATGACATTTAAATTGTTTCCATGGAGTTTAAATTATGTTGAATTGTGAACCATGAATCATGGGGCACTATGAAGTGTTTTAATGAACTTGTTTGAACTATGATTCCGCTACAAGTATGTGAAACCTTGATAATGGATATGTCATGAATAATTTTGAAAATCTGTGTTACGGAGTAAGACTAACTCGTATGATTATTTCAGGAATAAAATCTGACGCCTTTGTATTGTATTACTCTAATATTATTTTAAATAATTATGAATATTATGTAGAATTTAAAAGGGTGTTACATCTCACGCAAAAACCTGCAAATAAACAACACAGAGACAAAAGCAAAGGAAATTAGTGGTTTGTGTGTCTTGTTATGTTTTACTTTGCAGGTTGTGGTGAAGAAAATAAGCAAAGAAGAATATGGAATCTCCAAGTTGCAGAAGCTGCTCGCGAATCCTTCAATAATCCACGACATCCATCAATAACATCAACTATGAAACCTTCTCCCGTCAATTTCCGCACAATTCGATTTCGTCACTGCAGTACAACAGTTTCAACAACTTATTGTTGTCCCTCTGTCCGACGAGCTTCTCTCCGCCAATTTCGAGTAATTCTGCCACCACGTTTTGCTTACAGGTTAAAGAGAAAGAAGATTAAAAAAACAGAAGAAAAATGAAAGAAATATGCAGATCTGCGGCACCATCACCAGCATGACACCTCCCTCTACGTCTCCGCCTCACAACATACCCTAACTGTCAGCTCCAACTGCCGCGCCGTCTCCCTAAACGCCGTTGAACCAAACCGTCGAATGCTTCATCACCGCCGCCGTGAATCCTCCACGAGCAGTCCACTGTAACCACATCAAGATGCATCGTCGCCGAGAGATCCAAGAGGAAGAAATTTGGAAAGAATCTGGAGGAAGAGAAAAGTGCTTTTAACGATGAAGAGGAGACTACCTTTGGATGGGTTTTTTGGTTTTGCTCTCTATCTCTAGTGTTTGTTGTTATAGTGAATGTTTCTCTCGTGTTTGTTGTTATAGTGAATGTTTTCATTCAATTAACTAAGTGACACGTGTCACCATTCTGTTGGCTATTCATTTTTCTTCAATTTTTTGTAATGGTCAAAGATCACGGTGGGAGGTGTTTCTTCTTTGCTGGTATGTGCATAAGTTGCAATATATGGCTTCTAGGCCCAATTATATGTTTTACATACCCCTTTAGCTCAATTAACCCAACTTCTTTTTATTTATTTGTTGTACATAAGTTGTAATATATGGCTTCTAGGCCCAATTATATGTTTTACATACCCTTTAGCTCAATTAACCCAACTTCTTTTTATTTATTTGTTGTACATAAGTTGTAATATATGGCTTCTAGGCCCAATTATATGTTTTACATACCCTTTAGCTCAATTAACCCAACTTCTTTTAGTATAGTTATTTTCATTAGTTTATTTACTTTAACTAACTTAATTAATTTAATAGTTAGTTTATTTTATTTTAATTATTATTTAAAAATAATAAAAAGTCTAAGATATAAAAGGGATATGTATAATTTTATTTATTTGATAAGTTAGATTAATTGGATTAATTTACTTATACATAATTAAACTTTTCGCTATCAAAATTAAATTAAATATTTTATAAAGGTATTAAAAAATACACAATTCACCATCCGCGAGCGACACGTGGACAACATGGTCATATGACAAGGAGACTATATCAAACTCGCACGCTCTACGTCTTAATATAGCTAACCAACATCAAATCATATTTTTTACTAACATAACAAAAACTACAAGATTATTTTTGAAAAAGGATTGAATAGAATTACTTTTAAAATTAACTGCGAACTACGAATTGGGACTCTGATTCCTCATAAGAGGATATGTAGTCATACAACTAAAATCGTGGCGAGTTCCCCTAATGAAAATTAAAACTCTATTTCCTAAGCCGAAATTCTAAACCCTAGTATCCTTGTGAACAAGGTAGATGAGGGGTGCCTAACACCTTCCCTTCGTTTAAAAACGAGTCCAACAACTTAGAATCTCTGACCAAATTAGGGTTATCATTTATATCCCATTTCTTAGGATAAAAATTAAGAGTGGTGATTCTATATTTTAAAACCAATTACAACAACTGAAAGTAAGGAAATCGTGCGTTGATAATACTTATTGTTCATAAGAAGTGAACTTCGTGAAAATATGGTTAAATCAAGCTCTAATACTCCTATTATTCGAGAAGTTGTGAATTGACTGAAAGTAAGGAAATCGTGTGTTGACAATACGTATTGTTCAGAAGTTGTGAACTTTATGAAAATATGGTAATCAGACTTTGTCGGTTCAGAAGTTGAGAACTGCCTGGAAGATTAACAAAGTTGTTATTATACTTAGCATTTGTTTCAGAAGTTATGAACTATCTGAAAGAATGTCAACGTGTTCCTTGGAAATGTTTGGTCCACTATCAAAAGACTGTTCAAAAGTTGTTAACTATCTGAAAGTGTTTGAAACCAGGTTACGTTTTTCCAGACTCTAATACTTCAGAAGTTGTGAACTTTCTGGAAGTATAGTAATTTGTTGTTAACCAAGTCGTTTAAGAGGTTGTGAACTGTCTGTAGACATGGTAGAAAGACATGTTCTAAGACATGTTCTGAAAACATGGTCTAAGACATGTTCGCAAGACATGGTCTAAGACATGTTCACAAGACTTGGTCTAAGACATGGTCTAAAAGATATGTTCTAAGACATGGTCAAAATACATGTTCAAAAGACATGGTCAATTAGGAAATGGTTCAGGTGCTGAACTTTCTGATGACATGATGTTGTGCGTCTTCTAGTGGCATGATTCTAGTTTCTGGAAGAACCACTATATTAGTTATGATGTTTGATGTGATTCCTCAAGACAATGACTAAACAGGTTATATTGGGTCATATTTTTATGATAGAAATCCAGGTTCTAAGATTAAGACCATGTATTTCTAGTCAGACATTGATGAGCCGTCAATGTAGAAGTTGTTAGAACAATGTTTGAATCTACTACCCTATATTTAAGTTTTGATGATAACAAAGTGAAAAGATAGAGTATTTATATGTTTCATGTTTGAACTATATGCTGCCTAAAATTACTATGCTCTGACTTGTAGATACGCTGATTAAAATAAGCAAGATCACTTCTTCAGCATCAGAATTTGACTTCATACACCAGCATCAGAAGTTGCTGAATCAGAACGTCAAGATCAGATGATCAACTCACGTACATGCTGAAGCTTGATGAACAGAACTACACGTAAACACTCTGATACAGAAACACAATAGTTCATCAGCAGCGAAGCAGAATCAGAATGAGCCAAGCCAGAACGTGCATTGAAGAAGCAACGGTACTGTGCATTGAAAGCTAATCAATACCAACGGCCTCATTCTAGACAAGATCTGCTCAAAAAGGAAAGCTTGTTATTAGCATTGAATCAAGAATATTGCATTCAACGTTCATCTTCTCAAGTGCTATATAAATAAGGCTTCGAAGATTATAATGGCTAATGCTCTCAAAATCTCTACACGCACAAAGCTGAACCATAATCTTCATCTACCAGTTTTGCTAAACCAACAAACTCTGATACTCCATTACAGTTTAGCAATCTAGTTTCTAAGCTTAATTTGTGTATACATCACAGTTGTGATAAAGTTTTGTAGAAAACATTCACACACATTGTTTTATACCTTTGTAAGAAAGTGTTGCCTTGACAAACCGGATTGTGGTTTGAATCAAGAAGGCTTTAGCAGTTGTTAAAGCAGTCTGTAATATTCAGTTGAATATAGTGAATTAAGACCTCGTTGGAGAGAGGCGAAATCACCTTGACGGGTGGACTGGAGTAGTTTGAGATCAAACGAACCAGGATAAAAATATCTTGTCAATTGCTTTAAGATTTCAGTTTTACAATTCAACCCCCCCTTCTTGTGTTTTTCACCCCTTCAATTGGCATCAGAGCGCCTGGTTCTGAGCTAAAACACCTAACCGTGTCAGTACAAGATCCAGCGTCAGAAAAACACAATGGCAGGAAACAACTCTCATTTCAGCAATGACAACAATGAGGACAGAGACAGATTCAGCGGCAAACCTCCAGTTTTTGATGGAGAAAACTTTGATTACTGGAAAGACAGAATTGAAAGCTTCTTTCTAGCACATGATGCTGATCTGTGGGATATGGTGACAGATGGATACACGCACCCTGTGAATGCAACTGGTCAGAAGATTGATAGAAAATCAATGACTGATCAACAAAAGCGTGACTTCAAGAATCATCATAAGGCCAGAACCATCCTCCTCAGTGCCATCTCCTATACTGAGTATGAAAAGATCTCCAACAGAGACACAGCTAAGAACATCTTTGATTCTCTCAGAATGACGCATGAGGGCAACGTTCAAGTCAAAGAAACAAAAGCTCTGGCGCTCATTCAGAAGTATGAGGCGTTCAAAATGGAAGAATCTGAATCCATTGAAACTATGTTCTCTAGATTCCAGATTCTGGTAGCTGGTCTCAAAGTTCTGGACAAAGGATACTCTACTGCTGACCATGTCAAGAAGATAATCAGAAGTTTACCCAAGCAGTGGAGGCCTATGGTTACTGCTCTGAAGCTAGCGAAAGATCTCAACAAAATCACTCTGGAGGAACTTATAAGCTCCCTCAGAAGTCATGAGATAGAGCTAGAAGCTGACGAGCCTCAGAAGCAAGGTAAGCCTTTAGCTTTAAAATCTAACAGAAAATCTGAGTCTAAAGTTTTGCAGGCAGTTGAAGAAACATCTGATGGATCCTCATCAGAAGAAGACGAACTTTCCCTTCTCTCCAGAAGAGTAAATCAACTGTGGAAGCAAAGACAAAGGAAGTTCAGGAATCCCAGAAGATCTGATCAGAACGAGTCCTCTTCCAGATACAGAAGGACAGATTCTTCCTCTGGATACAGAAGATCTGAAGGCTCCTCCAGTAGCAAGAAGCCAAACACAAAAGACATCATCTGCTACGAGTGCAATGAGCAAGGACACTACAAGAGTGACTGCCCAAAGCTTCAGAGGGAAAAGCCCAAAAAGAAGTTTGGAAGAGAGAAGAAGAAAAGTCTCATGGCCACATGGGATGACTCTGACTCGTATGAAGCTAACTCAGAATCAGATGATGAAAGGGCAAACATAGCGCTCATGGCTAACATTCCAGATGATAGTGAAGCTTCTGAATCAGACTCAGAATCAGACACAAAAGAGGTATTCCCTAACTTCGCTGTTAATTTTACAAAGGCTGAACTTGCTGAAAGCCTCAATGAAATTCTGGAACGTTATCAGCAGATTAGAGCTAAATTCAGAGACCTAAAAAGGAATCTTGAATCTGACTCTAATAAGTCTGAGAGTCTCAAATTGGAAAACTCTGAGCTGAGAGATAAAATTTCAAAATTAAAAAACTCTTTACAAAACTCTCAGAAGGAACCAATTTCTGAAACTCCCAGCAACGCTGATGAGATCATCAAGGAGTATGATCATAGTTTCCAGAAGTTCCTTGCTAAAAGCATAGATAGAAGCAGAATGGCTTCAATGATCTATGGAGTTAGCAGAAACGGCAGGAAAGGAATAGGATACCAAGGTAAGATTCCTACACCTAAGAATGTCATGGATTTAACTATTAAACACACTCCTCT